CCTCCCACCCTCAGGTTAGGATTTTACCTCACTGGAACGAAACTCTGGGTTTGTAACATGGGCAACAACTTCAATATTGATGAGCGGACAATCCAGTTTATCCAGTTGAGTGTAAAGCACACATGATTTGAAGCGTAAGAAATCCCCCACGTCCACCTGTCATGCAAGTCAATTGGAAGCATTACCATTAGTAGTAGTTTACAGAAGGAGAATGTGAGCAATTAGGGGTTAGTAAAAAGTGATATGGATACAGACTGGCCTCAGAAAATCAACGTGATCAACTTCTAAGAAGTAGGGCACTAGACCCGCAAATGTATAAGCTGTGGAGAAGGCCAACTCAAATGCTCTGTGCATCAAAAACCCTCCAAAGATCCTGCCATGGATGTTCCTCTGCTGCGGTTGGCATATTAGCGAATTCTCAAGATGTGTATCCTTCAGAAGAATGCTGTTTCTGTCTGCAAGAGCCGGCATGTCAGAGAAGATCCTTCCTTCAGCCAACAAAGCCTCAAGCTTCTTATATTCCCCGTGATCGAAATCCCTTCTCTCACCTCCCCTCTTCTTCTTCCTCAAGTTATTCCTAGCTTCGGCTTCCTCAAATAAAAGCTTTTCTGGCTCGGTTTCTGGAGAAAGCCGGTTGATAGGAGCAGCCTTACCAGTCTTAGAGTCACGCGCCACAAAAATGAAGTTGGCAGTTAGAGCGACTGAATCTGAAGAAGCATTGGCATCTTCTTGAAACAAGAAAACAGAAGCATGTGTTTATTTTTTTGGAGTTTCAGGCCATGGTTGTAGTTGAATAGTTAGAGAATATGTACATACCGAGTTGGGATTGCATAACTTCGAGTTGAACCTCGATAGAAGAGCGGCCAACCCAAATGACAGAAGCAACAATCTTGAGATCAACATCGACACTAATGGGCTTCTTTAAGTGAATTTTATCAACGGAAGCTGTAACCAGCAACAGTGGCCTCGTTGTGCTATCATCATCAGAACAGTGCTGAAGCACAATGTACACAAATATGCAGATTGTGTTGTTAAGGAGCGCAACAAATAGATGATGATAAGATTACGATTTGATTTGAAGCAACACCTAAGTGACCATCAGATTTAACTAAAATCCAAAAATGCATCAAAACCCCAATTTGATTCACGAACCCAGAGAAGGAAATTGCGATCGGAATGTACCTTGACGGAGATAGTGCCGGCCAAAGCATCGAGGTCTTCGAGCAAAATCCCGAGGCGGACCTCGTTCCAGGGATCCCTGTACTGCTCGCGGAGAATGTAATCAGTGGAGAAGGGGTAGAAAATGGTGGTTCGGCTATGCGACGGCGTTCTGGTGAGAAGCTCGCTCTGAGGGGGAGCGTCTTCGGGAGGGTCGAGAAGGGACTCGAAGATCTTGGACCTGGCCTCCCAGAGAGCGATGGTGACCGGAGAGTGGTACATACCAGGCCACAAGCTGAGGGGCTTCCGGGTTGAGTCAGTGACGGAGGAGGCCGGAGTTGCGTCAAACGGCGATGCGAAGGTGGAGACGACGGGGATGAATTTGGGGGAATTCGACTTCATTTTCCCGCAACCTAAAGGTATCCGATGAAAGGAAGCTTTCTCGTTTTCCAAGATCAAGAGAATCATTCAAAGGACGACCATTGCTTCCCTTGACTTTGGAGCTTCGTTCCACTCTTCCTCCTTTTATAAGCTTAACTTCTCGTTCTCATCAAACATTTTATTTTTTATTAGTACGTTTTGCAGGAAGGTGGGTAGATTTGGGCATTTGGATGTTCATGTCGGTTCAATTACATATCGAATTGGAACCGCACAAATTTGGTTTGGTTTGGGTCGGTTCGAACAGCTTCAGCTTCAGCTTCTATTATATCCGTCATGTGATTGTCAACCGGTTTGTAACATGTAATATTTAATGTTTCAGCTTCAGTGATTTTGTGTATTGTGTATGATGGGTGCAGCAGTATGATGCTAATACAAATCTGTTCAACAATAATGCGATACGATTGTCAAATCTTTTCGATCAAACTGAATAGTGCTGCAAATTTTTGAAGAGCAACAATAGTGACAAGACCAAACCGGTGAATCTACTGAAAAAACCCAAAAGCTCAGTGAAGTAATA